AGGATCTTATTGATATCACTAAGGTCATCTTCCTCAGTGCCCACTTTTAACATTTTGTACTTTTTATGACAACCTACTCTCTGTGACACCATTTCCAGAACTGTGTTATAGCAAAATAATGGGTTTTCTGAAAGCAACTGAACATTTAACTGTATTTCCAAAATACAGAACCAGAGTGTTATAAAACATGCATCACCTGAACACTACAGTTCAGGGGCAGATAACCTATGACTGGCATCTGATGCAATTTTCCAGAACCTGTTACCTGTACCTACCAAAATCTGTTTTCTTACCCACCGCCTTCCTTCCTAATCTGTTTTCACTCTTCTCCTTCTCCACCCACATTGTGCTTCATCCTCTCATGTTATCCAGGTTGTTTTTCTTTTTTTTTAATTTATGTTACTTTCCCGTCACCCACAGGCAATATGTACCTATTTTTTTCCTTACCTCAAAACCATTTGAGCATTAAAAAGTTAATCCTTTTTTAGTTTGTAGCAGTTGTTCTACATAACTTCATAATTCCCACATCAAATCAGTTTTAGAATAAGGTAATCTAAAGTTAAAGTCCCTTTAGTTTTTATTTTTTCACTAGTTTTCTATACAAAAGAGAATTTGGGTATCTTATTATTGATTCCAATAAGTATTATTCAGGATATACCATGTTCATTGTGCAGAATCTCTTTCTGTATGATGCCAAAAAAACTAGTGCGTAGCATTAGTATTTTATTTAAAGTAGCTAGTTTGATTGTAAAGATTTTATTATAACTCATTTTATCTGTATGATGTTTCTATAAAGAATGCTCTAATATGCAGTAACCAAAAACTGGACATGAAAGAAATGATAAAATTGGCAATAAGCTTGCTTGTATGTTTGTGTCTAGTGTCCAGGGAGTAAAGGAATTTGCTCAGTAGCTCAATGGTAGCCATCACAAGGAACTTACACCATTTTTAAATATGCAGTCAGCACTTATTTGTGAGAGCCTTTGGTCACAACAGTTTTGTCCGCTGATCAGGACATCACCTTGTTTTGTGTGTTTTTCTCTTGAAAGATACCTTATTTGATATTTATTGTTGATTCATTAACATTGAGCTCACAACCAATAGCACTATAACTCACACCCAAACCAAACCTATCTAATAACATATTTTCTTCGTAAGTCACATCACAACCTTCTTGCATTTAGGAACACTAGATAGTGTCTGCACTGTGTTTGGGAGCCATTTTCAGCAATGAAATCACCAACAAAGACCATAAAAATGCCAAAACATGGCACTAAAAACACTGAGAAAAGATAACTTATTGATGTTATGAAAGCTGAAACAAGAAGGCAGAGTATTGCCTCTCTGCATTTTCCACTGCTGTATACGTGTCTGTGAATGACTGTGAAAGTGCCATAAATATTGATTTTGGGGTTACAAATTTAGTGAGTGGATGAATTCACAAATAAGGAACCCACAAATGAGGATTGACTGAAATTGCTTTATTAAAGTACTGGTCTTGGAGGAATATGTCTCCACAAATGCAGATGCTTAATTCCAATAGGCTTTCAAGACAGTAAATGGTTTTTAACTAAAGAACACTTTGTTCCCAGTAGCTTGTTACTGAATAAACCTAGTTCTTCACTATAAAAATTAAAATCATGGTTTGAATATAGAAACCTTATAGTGGAAACCATAACTGTACTATAATACAAGAATACTTTTGCAGTAGAACCTTACTTCTACCTACATCATTGTTTCCATGGAAAAATGTATTCCAAATTCCAGCTGAGATGCCAAAGCCCTTTAGCTTCTCGAGTCCTTAGTTCCAAGGATGACCAATCTACGAAACGCACCTACAGTGTAGGACTTTATTTTCCTTCTCGTCTAGTTCTGGGACTGGGAACAGAGCCATAGGAATTAGACTCTGGAGGATAGAACAGGGTTGCAGATCCTGGAAGGGAGTACCTAAGGGCTTAGAGAGGGACAGATTCTACAGATGACTTCCATGAATAACACCATGATTTTTAGGGAAACTAGGGATGATTGTTAGTACAGCCCAAACTGGACAGAAGCCATATTCTAAAAACAATAGCCCTGTTAGAAATAAAATTTTGGGCCACATGATCTATTAAGGCATTTTTTTTTACCCTCCTTAAGGATTTAAGTTTGAAAGAGAATATTAGTAGTGTAAAAAATGCAGATGCTGGTCTTCTCTGTGATTAGCCGTGGTAGGAAGTCTCTGATCAAGAGGATAAATACCTGCAAGTTTATATAAACTAAGCAGTATTATTTATGCTCAGTGTTTTCCCACAATGTTACTATACTCTGTAATATTTAGTAGATGTACATGTGTTCTTTGTTCATTTGTATTCTCTTAATGATTAAAAGTTTGAGGCAAACAATGATAATTCAAGATAGGAAAATATGTGGTAGTGTACTAAAATCTTTGTAGAACTTAAAAATGAACCTCATAGGTGTATTTTAAATGACAGGTTTCTTTGGGGGGAGGAGGCCTTTAATGAGATCTGCTGTCTTCCTTGCAAGGTTCCCCAAGTGTAAGATATTTTAATGAAAAATAATGGACTAGGTATTAAATAGATTTTAATTCAGTTTAGTTTTTTAAATTCAGATTTTTATTTAATAAAGTAATTTAATTTTTTTATATTAATTTAATACAATATCTTAATGTTGGGCCAATTTTTTAATCTTAACTATATTCCAAGAAAGAATAATACGTATTCTATTTTTAATAAGTAGAGCGTCTGGCAGAAAACGAAAAATATCTTGTTTTAAAGTCAGAATTCTTTTTCCTTTCATCAAATGGTCTTTAAATGGATTGGGGACAGTAGCATATTTGAAATTCTCATTTGAAATTTCAACTATACATCAGCCTATTAAATGCTCAGGGTGGTCTAACTGTAAAGAAACTTGTTTAACTTTATTTGTAGAATTTCTTACATTTCTCTGGCTTTGGAGCCCTTTTCTCCACCCAGAAACTTCACCATTTCATGAGATTTCATAACTAAGGAACACAGTTATGGCAATTTAGCTTGTCAGAGGCAAATAGCCCTTTATCTGGGTGTAGAGAGGGTTGATGAAACCACCTCTGTACTGCAGCGTAGGCAGAGGGAGCTGAAGTAACACGCTGGGAAACTGTCAGTCCTTTCCCTTGTTTTCAGGATGACAAAAAGTATTTTTGCACCTTCCCTGGAGAAAGCAAATAAGCTTATTTGCCTTCACTCACATATGTTCTGACTCATCTACCCAGGTGGCCTAGAACTATCTTAGGTCCTTTAAGAAAATGCATAAGGACTGTGTTACTGTTTATAACAAATGCTGTTTTACTAGAAAAGTTTTTAGTGTTTTTTTTTTAAATAAGCTTTTCAATAAGTCATTAATGCTGAAACACTAGTTCCATTGTCAACCTTTAAATAAATTTAAATATTGTTTTAATTAATTAAATCAATGTTTATTACATCTCATAAACTTTAATATTCTTTTCAAAGAAACCAACAAAAAACAGGAAGATCATAGGACAATGAACAAATCATAGATTGATTAAAGATTTAACACAGGAAGAACTGGGATTTTAAAACCCTACAGGAAAAAGAATTGTGTGCAATTGATTTTTAGCAAGCTAATAACATTCTAATCAATACAAGAAATCAAGACATTTAGTTTGATTGTAGGAGAGTCTGAAAATTTCTGCATGGCATATGAATAAATGCAACTAAACAAAAAAAAAAACAATGAGGAAACACCACAAATACAACAAAAACTGAGATTTATATTATTAGAATAACTTGTAATTTAAGAATATTATCAAACCCCAGTGAAATAAATAAGAAAAAGTCAAGCAGTTCATATATGGGGAAGTTGCCAGCCTTAAGTAAAAGAATTAATTTCCATCAACTAATATTTTCTGCACACCTATGCATTATACTATGGTTAGTGTTAGAATTTCTGTGGTAAAAGCAACACTCTCAGTCCTTTTGGGAAGAGAGGGAGGCAAGGTTCACATGAAACAAAGGAATACAGTGGAGTTCTGAAGATACATTTACAAATGCCAGCAAGGCTGTGGAAACTGGTTCAGTTATCATTCAAAAAATGACAAACATCTTTTTTTAACCTCAGAAGTGATCCTAATGAGATATTTTTTTTTAAAATAGCTTATGTGTTTTTAATAAATTGCTTCTATGTTGAGCAGTAGGGCTTGGTCCAGTAAGTAGGATTTCTTTACCCAAAGAAGAGTTACTTTATGATTAAAATTACAATTATAGGGGCGCCTGGGTGGCGCAGTCGGTTAAGCGTCCGACTTCAACCAGGTCACGATCTCACGGTCCGTGAGTTCGAGCCCCGCGTCGGGCTCTGGGCTGATGGCTCAGAGCCTGGAGCCTGTTTCCGATTCTGTGTCTCCCTCTCTCTCTGCCCCTCGCCCGTTCATGCTCTGTCTCTCTCTGTCCCAAAAATAAATAAACGTTGAAAAAAAAAATTTTTTTTAATTACAATTATATGGGGCATGTGGGTGGCTCAATCCATTTAGCATCCAACTCTTGATCTTGGCTCAGGTCATGATCTCATGGTTCATGGGATCAAGTCCATGTCAGGCTCTGCACTGACAGCATGGAGCATTCTTGGAATTCTCTCTCGCTCTCTCTGCCCCTCCCCTACTTGATCGCTCGCTCTCTCAAAAATAAATAAATAAAATTATAATTATGAAAATTGTACTAATATGAAATAATGTCATGAATAGGTGGCTATAGTTCTATTCATGCTGCTGAATTCACTTCTGTGAAATAAGTAAGTACTTGGTCATTAATGGTAGTAGGATTATGAGATATTAAAATTTATTTTGCATAATACTTAAGAAATTTTAAAACTCATTTTATTAAAAATGTTTTTTCCTCTTTTTAGCTGACTACACAAGACTCTGCCTTCCTCACATTTCCATAGCCAGCGACATGACCTGACACCTTGATGACCAGTCTCAGGGCCCTTGGGTGACTGGCTGGTGCACCATGGAACTTAAAGTATGGGTGGATGGAGTTCAGAGGATTGTTTGTGGGGTCACCGAAGTTACAACTTGCCAGGAGGTTGTAATAGCCTTAGCTCAAGCGATAGGTAAGTGAACTCTCTGAGAGTCTGAGACAAAGTGGTTTATCCTTCCTCTTGTTGTTTGGGGTTTTTTTTTGTATTAAATATAGATTTCTAGTTTTTTATTTGGTTCCATAATACAACTCAAGAGCACACTTTTACTTATTACAGTTCCCCATGCTTAAATAAGTCTGTAAAGACACTTGTCTTCTGGCTTCTCCCAGATTTACTGATCTTGAGTCCAGAGTCTGCACTGTCTCTGTTCTCTTATTGTTTATCCTAAACAATGATTTCTGGAACTAAAGATGTTTTCTTGAGCCAAAACATAGATTCCTAGTTCCCAGACCCCTCATTAGGAAAAAATCCTATTTACTGTTTATTCTGACTACTTTTTGAAAAGAAAAACATTGGGGTGCCTGGGTGGCTCAGTCATTCGAGCATCCAACTCCTGATACCGGCTCAGGTCATGATCCCAGGGTCACGTGATAGAGCCCCGCATCAAGGCTCCATGCTGAGCATAGAGCCTGCTTAAGATTCTCTCTCTCTCCCTCTCTCTCTCGCTCTCTCTCTCTTTGCTTGTGTGCTCTCTCTTTAAAATAAAAATGAAAAATTCAGGGGTGCCTGGGGTGGCTCAGTCAGTTAAGCATTTGAGTCTTCATTTCAGCTCAGCTCGTGATCTCACAATTCATGAGA